GGTGAATAGCGCTATCCGATAGATAATTTCTCGATTCTGATTGGACAAGAAATTTCTGGCGAGAAAATGACACTGAAAATGACCTCGTGCATAAATAGCTCTTATTACAGTCAAACAAGCTCACGCGTTGACCCTTAGATTCGATTAATAAAATCATTAGTCAATTATTCCTTTTATATACGTACGAACCGGATCAATGCAATATTGCAATATTCAAATGAAAATTCAGTTCATTATTCGACTCGTGATGAAGAAGGTAAATCATCTAAATTACAGATACCTTCGAGCAGAAGTCGCTCTCTTATTTCATAAGCATACACACTAGGTTTTGTAATTACCATGCCTCAATTACTTGGAGGATATCATCAGTAATTTTGTGGGGAACGCTCCCGCCTTGAGCGAAATGGAGACACAGTTCCGTGTCGTCGATAATGTTGAAGTATTTTCTGGACTCCCCAACTAGAAATTTTCAGTTGTCGAGAAATTGCTTTATTGGACAATCCGCTATTGCCGAGATGAACAATTTCCTGTCGAATAATATCAGGTAAAGGCTTTCCCGGCACATAAACACCGCCAAGACTAATTCTGGCCGCCATGTTTTCTTAGTCTTCCTGTGTTAGCACTGATTAACCAATCAAAATGTCGTATATTGAATTTAAAGTTGATTGGAATTTTCATATCTTCGTTTTCGACGTTGTAAATTTCAACTGAATAATGAAATCAAAATTCGAAAATTCATATCATTAATCGACTCTAGGGGTCAACGCGTGAGCTTGTTTGACTGTAACCGAGTGCGAAGTCCGTACCGTTAATTATGGACCGTAGTTTATTAGGATTCTTACGACATTGTACGATGAGTTTCAATTCCGGAAAAAGTGAAAAAGCTGGCAGGTTTTTTTTTTTTTTTCGGTCTGTACCGTAAGTTATGATCCTGATTGACCAATCGTAGCGCGTAAAATTACCTTGCCATATAACAAAGGGCACAACTTCACTTCACACATGAAAAAATGCTAATAATTTTAATTTTAAAAATACATACTAAATATTACTTTTTTGGGGTGGAAACTTTACGGCCCTGTTATAAACATTGTTAACCAATGTACCCCTAAAGACRCAAACGCTGGAACAATGTCATCGATTAAAAATGTCCGGTTTTACTTCAGTTCCGCCACTAGACATGTTTAAGCAATAGGTTGCTATCAATAGACGTCATTTCTGGTAATAGCTGTGTGTAGAATCTTGGAGGTTGTTTTGATCTCTCAATTTCTGGTTTCATGTCGTAGAAATAGTCAAATACAATACTCTTAGAACTTATTTTGACATGTTTTGACTTAACATCCGCTGGTTGCCCCCCAGTCAACCGCTTTTTTGCCCCCCAGTCAACTCCAAAAAAGTTACGTGATTAATAGTAAGCAATAGTGTAATCCATTCTCTAGAAACGAGAAGGGTCTGGGTACGAGAAGGTATAACAATTCGATTCTGGAGATCAGCTGGGAATATCTTATTTCCTGTACATTTCAATGGCTCGATCGAAAAGCTGTTATTACAGTCGAGCCCGCAATGCGAAATTCTTTTGTAAGGAATCATACTAGTGAGGCTATTGGATCGATACAATGCTTGTTGTTTGCTATTCTGTAACTGCTATTCTCATTATCATTATTTTCCTCCTTTTCTTTTTCTTTTGACAATTGCGAGTAACTTTAAATAAAATTAGGAACTCAAAACGGTTAAATTGACTGCTTGTTTACGAGTTTATTAGGATGTTCTGTTCTCGCGAAATTTCTTTCTAGGTCAAATTTCTCGAAAACGCTCACACACATTTTCTTCGCAATTTTGAATTGTAAATAAATCTACAAGGAAGTGATGACCATCACTGACCATATGCATCGCTTGTAACGCTTGTCACGCACAAAGGATACGAAATTAAATTTATTCTTTTCTCTTGTCACGAATCACTGGAGCATTTATATGCACGAAGCATTGAAACCCTTGTGCGTCACAAACAAAGCATATTTCGGAAGTGGACTATTTCAGGATCATCACAACATGACTGTTCTATGTGACAATAAACGAACATGTTTAAGCGGGAAATTACACGCTAAGGTTAATTGTGCATACAGTTTAGGGTAGAACATACAAATCGGGCTGATATCGGGCTGGAATCGGGCTGGAATTGGGCTGGAATCGGGCTGATATCGGGCTGGAATCGGGCTGGAATCGGGCTGATATCGGGCTGGAATCGGGCTGGAATCGGGCAGTATTTGCTTCCCGAGACATTCTGGCGAAGAATCGGGTCGACAAATCGCAGCGTGTGGACGTGTCTTTACACGGAAGTACTACACACACAAAAAAATACACAGTGTAATTTTCATCTCGTCTCATCCACGCCACGCCACGCCACACCACACCACACCACAAAGCGGTCAGAGGGGTCGCCTTTCGTATTTTAGCTTACTTTTCTCGAACTTTAAAAAAACTACTTACGTGTCCAAAGGAAAAAGTAGTTCTGAAATTTTTTTTTTTTTTTCCTTCCATATCAGAATTTATCGCCCAAAGTTATAAATGTTTCAAGTTTTGTTTAAGTCAAGGCACATTTTCCGCTTCATTTTAAGTTTTTGTGAGCAGTTGGACCCGGAAATACGTCACAACTTAATCAATATGTGGTCAGATTTCCGCTTTCATGTTGGCATCCTAACCTAGTTTGTTGTTTTCAGCACTATTCATTTCTTATTTCACTCGTGTGCTACTGTAATAGCACTATAAGCTCAGTTTACGTGTGACGGGCTTGTAACAGTATAAACGAAAATAGAGTTAACTATTCCATGTGGTGCATTTTAGTTATTGTCAGTCGTTATCGTATTCAGCGTTTTCTCATTTACATTTGTGTTTTGTTCCGGTAAAGATGACCTGAAAAAGTGGTGTCTTTTCTTATCATTAATTAAAATATTTTTATAAAATAGGCCGGGCTAGGTACATTTTTTGTCAAAGAAATAAGATTTTCAACTGATGTCTAACTGGGAAAATGAAATAGTAGCTGATAGAGCTTCTGAAGCCTTTGACAGTAGATTTTGGCACACATTTTTCATGCTTCACCGAAACAAAGCAAATAAAACTTAAGAGGTTGTGTACCATCACGTGACGGCAGCCATGTTAGATAGCAGGAACAGTACGGTCGTTTTTCATGAGAAAGAATTCAATTCCCAAGAGCACAGGGATTTTATTTCTCTGCCATCTAACTGGTATCTCAAGCAGTATTATGAGCGTGGGCACGTGATGGTGCAAAACTTCTATTTCAAAAAATGTTGTTGAAGGTTTGGTTTCATGTTGCTTGCTGCATTTTGCATATTGCTTGTTGCTTACTAAACTTGAAATGCATTTTATTCATGTGTAAATAATGTCAGCACAGAAGAAAAAATTCCGGAAAAATTTGCAGACAAAGTTCCGGAAACATTTTTATTGTTACCTTTCGTTGATTGCATTCAGATTGCCCATAGTGCAATTCGGGCTTGGTATGCAACATGCAACAAAGCCTTCATCAACAAGCTTTTTGAAACAGCTAAACTAAACGACAAGGCTGCTAATTTCACGCTTTTTTTTAATYATTAACCTGGGAGTGATACGCCAAACTATAAGCGTTGCATACGTTCTTTGGCCACAAACGAGCGTGCTTTTTAAATATTGTTCTTGTAACAAAAGGCCAAAAACTTTTTTTGTTGCTCTGTCGCTTTGGGGTGTCAAAAAGCAACCAAAAAAAATAGTAACTAAACACGTTCATTTCTTTTGTTTTCAATTGGTGTTTTTTTGCACTAATTAGTAAGTACAGTAAAAACCCGCGTATGTCCCCACGTATAAGAACCTAGATTTTCAGGCTAAGATTTTTTAGGCCAAGATTTTTTAGGCTAAGATTTTCTAGGCTAAGAAAATAAGAATCTGTTTTAGAACCTAAATAGCCTAATCTTTTAGTAARCACCATGTATATAAGGACTTTCTTGGAAAAAATCTAGGTTCTTGTACTCGTGTCTTTACTGTAACATTTCACGGTGATATGGTTTGCACCAAGAGAGCATAAATAAGAGAGGGAAGCCATGTAAATTCCCGGTTGGGCTATTTTTAGTAACCGGATGCAGTTTAAATTTTGCCTAAACCCCACTCCCGTACGTTATCACTTGCGCGAGCGCCCTCTTTCCGTTTTTAGATCGATAAAACAAGGGAGCACATTAAAATTTTGTTTGTGTAAGGAAAGTCATTGTTCTTGGTTGATCTATCTAGCGCGCGCAATCCATCATGTGACAGGCGTTGCTCGTAGTGTTTTAGTTTCGGCCGATCCGAATGGCTTACGATCGTGTAAGGAAGGGAATGACGAGTGTAATAGGAGGGGAGTGAAACAGTGGAAATTTTATCGTCCTATGCTCGTAGCAGATTGCTATGCACACAGGCGGTTGCTATGCACGTTGATGGCTGGATTACACGATCAAGTTAGAACGTAAGTACTTTTTCGAAACTAGAAGTCAGGTGAATTTATGAATTTACGTAACATGAGCGTATGAGTTTATGTTCAAGATGAACTGTCGAGTCACTCGTTTGAATGTTTTTGAAATCGTTAATTTGAATTTTGAATTTTTTTACAGAATAATCAATAGTTTATTTTCCGTATCTAATGGGGAAGCCGATCAAAACTACGGAGGCATATTAAGTTTACAAGACCGAGTGTAACGAAAAAGGGCTAAAGCCATGTGATCAGGCAAACTTTTCAGCAGTAGGATTATTCTTGATTATGTTCACCAGTTCGTGAGCCGATTTTTTTTCTATCACGCAGGCGAACTGATGAATGTATTGTCGATCCTCATATATTTTGAGGCGCAATGCCCGTTGATGAGGTGATAAAAACAACGCTTGCTCCCTTTCTCAACTCCTTTTAAAYATATCTAATTAAAAATGATTTTCCGCTTCCAGCTATTCCACTAAAACACACTAAAACCTTTTTCTACGAGATTAAAAACTTTGTTTTGCTCTTCGCTCAAGGACGCCATTTTGTTTGTTTTCATCTGTTTGACGTTACACGTCATTTTTTTGAATTTGTCACGTAATCCGTTTCTATAGATACTGCTACCAGCATAGAGCGAAAAATATTTTCATTTTGGATTGCTTGATTGGCTGAAAAGGGTCACGTGGTTTACAGTTTCACTCCCCTCCCTTTTTACACGTCGCTCCGCTCCTCGCAAGAAATTCGTCGGTTTTCGGAGTAAATTCGCTAGCCCGACTAAAGCAAGGAACGCCTGCCATAAAGTGTAGCGCGCGCACGTAAACAAGCACTACAAGGAACGCCTGTCATATCTTAGAATACGTGCGATATAATCGAAGATAAACCAACACAATCAAAATTTTAACGTGCTCCCTTGGATAAAAACGAAACGGAAAGAGCGCGCGAGCGCAAGTTGATAACGCACGGGAGTGGGGTAAGGCGAAATTTAAACTGCATCCGGTTACTAAAAATGGCCCAACCGGGAATTTACATGGCGCGTGCGTTATTAAGAAGTTTCCCTCTCTTATTTATGCTCTCTTGTTTGCACTCTATTTATCATGTTGCTGTTCATCCATCAGGATATCAACCGCATCATGGAAATGCACGGGAATCATGTGATGGAGAGTGTTAAACCGATCCTGGACAGTGAACTGCAGACAGTCCAAGTCAAAGAACAGGTATGTATCATATCATCATTTTTCATTTTTTTACAATTTTCCTTGGGACCCCGTAGTGGAGCTCTGCTCTGTGGGGTTTCCCTGCACATAAGCTAAAGTTTATAAATAATAATAAAATATCAGTGGCTTAGCGAGARTGGAGACCTTTGGATCCGGCGATGAGTACGAGTACGAAATATGAAGGCTAGGTTCATGTCAAGCGTCGAACTTCACATGAGCCGATTCTAATAACATCAAAAAGACCATTCATTGCTGTACCTCCCTAGTTACTGTTGCTACGTCAGACAAACTAAAATGTGTTTTTGATATAAAGCATGGAACAGGCACCGATTGCTGAAAATTGTAAATGACCCTCCTAGAATCAATGCATTTTAAAGGTACATTATGAAAAAAAAAATCGATAACTACAAAAAAATCTTATGAATTCGAGTTTGTTGGTCGGACATTCTGTATTCCAGGGAAAACTAATTGGGTGGACACTCAAGCATAACCGGGATTTGTCTCTTCCACAAGTTGCCTGAAACTAATAATGTGTTGTTCTTGCTTTCAGGCTTTGTGCGTCATAGCTAATATTGCTAATGGTACTTCAGCGAAAGAGTTTATCGTACGAGACGAAGTTTTACTAAAACGATTAATGCATTACATGATGCACGAAAGCGTCAAGTTACAAATGGCTGCGACCTACTGTATCTCGAACCTCGTCTGGAATACTGAAGAAGGAGCATTAGATCGGCAAATAAAACTACGAGATATGGGTGTACAGAAACTGCTGCAGTCACTATTAACAACATCTGATGCTCATCTGTTTGAAAGGTAAGGGGGTCTTACCAGTAGAGAAGGTAGTGGAGGGTGTACAAAAACTGCTGCAGTCACTACTGACAACATCTGATGCTCATCTGTTTGAAAGGTAAGGGGGTCCTACCAGTAGAGAAGGTATGGGAGGGTGTACAAAATTACGTCAGTCACTGTTGACAACATCAGATGCTCATCTGTTTGAAAGGTAAGGGGGTCYTACCAGTAGAGAAGGTAGTGGAGGGTGTACAGAAACTGCTGTCACTATTGACAACATCTGATGCTCATCTGTTCGAAAGGTAAGGGGGGTCCTACCAGGTCTTAACAGGGCTCTCTTTAACCTAGTTCTACTGAATGAGACATCCCGGTATAAATATTGTTAAAATAAATAAATAAAATAAGCCAGTAGAGAAAGGAGGGGAGGGTGCAGTAGTGCAACAATCAATAGTGCTGCTACAAGTACAACAATAAATACTTGAATAATTGACTGAATTATTTCTCTATAGGGTGAAGACAGCACTGCAGCAGTTCACGTGAATCACAAATGGGCCAATGCATTTGGCTTTTTATAAATGAATCTTGACTTCCTGTAATATTGGAAAACTCCCCTCCCCCCCTCTACATTTATCAATGAATCTTAACTTCCTGTAGAATTGGAAAAAAACTCCCCCC